GCAGTAGTAAAAAAGTAACACAGACGCATCACCATCGCTCCTTGAAAATCGACAGTTGACGGTCTCAAAGGCTACTCTTAACAACGAAATTCTGGGAATAAGCAAAAACAAGTAAGTACAAACTTTTAAAGAAACAAAAGAAAAAGACAATAAAAAAGAGATAATAACAATGAGAATATTTTTAACACGCACAATACCAATATTGTCATTAACCTCACGAAATAAAAATACACATTCTTGTCATTAATGTCAACACGTGTCTCAAAGTCTTATTGTTGTTAGAGTTGCACATTTCATTTTCCGTAATGAAAATAGAGAAAGGGAATCCTCTATTAACTACCAATACAAATAACAACGGGGTAACTTACATTAACAACAACATATCCACCCCGTTAGAAACAGTTAGTGGACGCAAGAAGTCTAATTCCCCATCCCAAATTGTTTTACAAAGAAAATTTTATTAATTTCATTCAACAGTAAGGCTAAATGTTTGGTTAATGAATACCGAACATTTCCTTATAAGGAAATAATTAATTTCAACCATAGAAACATTGCTATACTATTATTCTGCTTGTTTTTATGTAAAATTTTTATGTTTTTCTATGTAGAATTAAAGGGTAATACCTGTTTAATCTCTGATCCTTCTGAGTTAGAACCAGTTAAGCATTCTGACCAAAAGACCTATCAAATAATATCAAGCGGGAAGGAACTGGAAGAACAAGAGATGAGGATAGTAAAGAAAGGAAGCTAGGAGAAAATGAAAAGATAACCAGATGAAAGAAAAAATATAACACGTGTGTGCAAAAGTTTTCAGCAGAAAAAAAAAAACAATCATTTTTCAACAGTGTATCCAATTTCCAGCTTAAAAAATATGCTGGGAATTTTTCACACTGATAGGGTAGTTATGGAAAGAAGGTTTATTCAACCATTTACGTTCCCCCTATTATTATTACATCCATATTTCACGAGACGGAACAGAATAACTAAAAGGAAAAGGAATGACTAACATACTCTGTTCTCAGAGTGAGTTTCATGCTGTTAACTCAAATACACAATTATGTATACACATTTACACATGTTACACGCAGAGAAAATATAACATATATCTACACAGCAAGCAGAGTGAAAGGAGAAAGAAAAGATAGGGTCCTATATAATATGGAGATTCTTCTGTGTTTCTGGAGAAGCCATGTTTAGGACTCCATATTCAAGCAGGCTGGATTTATCTACTATGTTCCAAGTAGGACATATTCCAAAAACAGGAGATGGCGAGTTTAGGGTTTTCCCAAATTGAGAACTGCGAGCTGAGGATAGTTCCTTTTTATATCTGGTGGAGATATATTCCCAAATGGTGCTAAGCTGTACCACGTGCTTGACCCCAGCTAAAAAAGCAAGCCCTCAGTTTAAATCCTGTAAACCGATTGAAGGACTGCTACTTTTGTCACTCTGTGAAGTGACGTCACTAAGCGGCCGTCACGTGACCCACATGATTTATCGCTACCAAAGGGAGATAACCCCTAGAACAAACCTATGGGGAAAGTGAGAAGAGACAGAGTTATCAAAAGATAAGGAATAAAAGATAGAATAAAATGAATCTACATCTTGTCCCACCGGCTATGGTTAAACAGAAGGGTAGACTGATCTCTCTAATCTTGGGCGGTAACCAGTCTAAAAGACTAAAGTTACTAAAATTCCATGCTGTGGAGGAGGCAACGGAAACCACTCAACTATCTTTCCCAAAAAGTCATCGCAATTCACAGATAATAACGAAAAGGAAACTGTGGAGACTCCTGATCGTCTACATTTTAAAGTATCATGACAGGTAAGGGCAGGAAGACATAGAATGCACTCCATTAAAATTCATGCAGAGATAGAAAAGAGAAAAGTAAATGAAAGGACGCATTACAATAATTTGTGAATTTCTTACATGAAGTTAATCTATATTATTATCACATAGAGATAAAAATGTGGAATGGAGAAAGAATGAGAAGATACAGATAAGGGATGAGAGACAAACAGAGACATGAGATAACGAAAAATCTGAGTCGTCAACATCTGTGGAATTTCCACGGGTCCAACATGTATAGTAGGAATTCAAACATTTGACCATTTCATATTTATCTATGTACTTCTAGATAAGGAAAACAAAATATTAACGCTAGCGACTTGGGCTGAGAGTATATTTTGTTCTCCTTGCAAGAGAATTTGCAGTATTGGTGGTAGAGAGTTCAATTCCAAGGTTAGGTAGTGAATCATCATATCTTCTGGTTCAATGAAAGAGGCAGACAAGCAATATCACTAGAAAGATTGATTTGTTTTTACGGTTTATCAATCTTTTGCCGGTTATTTAAAGCCAGAAAATATTTTTAGATTATGAGAATTTTTTGGAAATAATAATTTTTTAATGATACAAGTCCTACAAATTAACCCATAGCTGGGGTAGAAGAAGGGAATTCGTACCTTTCCCAAAGCTATTTGTATGTAAGCAAATATAATGAACCAGACTGGAATTGGAACTCCTCTGATTTCCAGTTTCGAGCTGTTATACATTACAGCACCTGGTTTCCTAAGTGGTCACCCATCTTGATACTGACCAGTCTCGACGTTGCTTAACTTTGGTGATTGTACAAGAATCGGTATTTCAATGTGATATGGCTAATTAGAAAAAACCAACTGTTATGATATATACTATATATAGTTCATCCAATACAAAGCTCGAGAGCCACTCAAGGTAGCGGATTAGTGTTAAAATGGTTATGACGAATGAAGAGTGTGGTATGAATGAATGAGCAGGTGGTAAGAAGTGGAGATTATGAGAATACGGAGGACGAATAACAATTGTCTCTAGACTTGAAGACGTTAAGGTTATAGTGTTCCGTGTAGCATTCAAAGGAGAGTCTGTTTCACAAAGTAGTAACTCTGGGGCATAGATAACAAAAATGAAAACATTCTGTGGCACTCCTCAAATAGACTGGTCCATTTGTAAAAAAATAGGCAATATCTTTTGTGAAAAATTTTAATACATTAGCATTCTTTAAACATTCCTTAGACCACGACAATTGTCTGAATAAAAAAATATTGATTTTTCTTTTTCTTTTTTTTAATCAATTTAAAAACGGTGGTCTTGTTATAAACATACAAACCCTATCGATACAATATCGATACAATATCAAATCGGCCCTGATTTTTACAGTGTTATTGTACTGTTTTGCGTACGAAAACAGACTTTTTTGGTAGAGGAGTACAAAAGGATTTCTTTTACCACAAGAACAAACATATTATTTAATTAAAGAACAAAAATTTATATAAATTAATAAAAGTATTTGCTTATTTGTCATTTAAAATAAATAAGTATTAATTTCAAATTTGTACTTACCACAAAGATTCCATACAGAAAAAAGTTTTAGAAAAGTTTTTAAAAATGTTAAAAAAAATAGAAAAAATGAATGAAAAAAATATACAGATATCAATGATGTCAGCAGAGTTTCAAATTTTACATTTGTGAACACCAGCTAAGTGAAGTTTAATAACTCTGTAAACGTCATGGATCAATTTGACAGTATATCGAATATATAAACAGGGTCCCTTCTTCTAAATTGATAAAAATCAGTATATTTCGATTATACCAACTGTCATTGCCTAAGGAAGGTCTAACGAATGTTAATCTACAAAAATTGTCTCTCCCTAAGATTTTTCTCTATTTTTTACGATTGGACCAGTAGCATCCATTCTGCTCTTATGAAGTAAAGAAAGAATTTGGTTAGAAATTACAAAATGTTATCAACAGACACCTGAAAACGGTTGGAATGTCAAAATAATCAAGATTTTAGCTTAGTTTCAAAAGCTTAATCGATATTATACTGATTGATTTCTCTACTGTTGTTATGATAACACAACGAAAACAGCCCATTTAAGCATGAATTTTGCTAGCGCAATGTCATCAAATTGCTTTTACTTGGAGAATAATGCAATTTCCACCCCAATCAGAACACCGCTTTCCGAGTAATTTTTAGTACTATATAAATCGACAAAAATATATATTCTAAAGAGTATATCTAAAGAGATATCTCCTCGTCTGTTAAGTTTTAATTACAGTTGTTTTTATGAATTTTCTTAATAAAAAAAAAAAATAAAAAAATAAGAGGAATAAGCATTAAAGAATCTTTTGCTCAATCTGCAATCCTCTTCATAAGTCATGATGGCATAACAGTAATTTTCATAATAACAGACATAGCACTGGCATTCAGAAAAGAAAGGTTTACAAATGTTGATAGCATAACGGTTATTGGCGTCGAAATTGTAATCGTCGAGTTGAGTTCGAAGTTCAATCGAGTCTATTATGTTCCCTTCTGCCCTAGCTATGGGTTAATTCTAAGGGGAGGACAATTCTGAATTGAAAACTGTGGAAAAGGCCCCGGAAAACAATTTAATTTCCCAAAACGTTATTCGAAGACGTTAAAAAACAAAGATACATGATCACCTAGATTCTGAAGAGACAAGGTATGAAAATTAATGATCATCTCTTATGTCAGAAACGAAATTCTTGTTCTAAACTGAAAATGAATTATGTTCACTTAAGAAATAAGCTGACAGATTATATAATTATTTCTAAAAGTTAATATTTGATAGAAGAAGTGTTATGATACTGATCATGATCATATATTTAATCATATAAACATATGAAATATTATGATATTAACCTTGATCATATATTTAATCAGATAAACATGATACCTCTAAAAAGTATTATGATATTGATCTTAATCTTATAGATAATATGTAAACCTATGATAATTCTGAAAAGTATTATGATACTGACCATGATCATATATTTAATCATATAACCTTATGATACTTCTGAAAAGTATTATTATATTGATCTTGATTATATATTTAATCAGATAAACATGATACCTCTAAAAAAGTATTATGATATTGATTTTAATCTTATCTGTAATATGTAAACTTATGATAATTCTAAAAACTATTATGATACTAACCTTGAAGAAATTGGAATATTCGTGTAGAGTGTCGTCATGGAGACTGGAATGGCAGTAGCTCAATATAGTGTCGATTTTTATTCTACTTTTTGACAAAATGTACCTTTGCAAAATAAAATATAATAAAGAAATGTAACAAAATAAAATATAATAAAGAAATGTAACAAAATAAAATATAATAAAGAAATGTAACAAGTCCGTTAGGTTAGGTCAGTTTTCCATATCAACTTTTGTTAATGTCGAAATTAGTCTTTTTTTTTTTGTACTCGAGTTCCTTGATAGACATTGGTCTAAAATATTGAGTCAATAAAGTGTAAATCGCTCTTTGGAGTGATTTGTAACACATTATTTATCATCTCTCAGTTGCGTCTCTGTCCTTGGGCAAAGTACCTTCAGGGGCGACTCCGTCGCAACTGAGAAAAATTATACTGAGAGGTTCCCAGCCCTGGGGAACAGCTGCCCGAGGCCGCGCCCTCTCATTGCACCAGACAGAGGGATCGGTGCTCGCACTAGGGCCAGCGCAACCGACGGTTGCCGTGGCTGCGGGCAATTTTTGTTCCTTGCCTGGGTGTACGCGCTTGGGTCCCCACCTTAAAAAATAACCTTGTATTCCAACTCGTCTTATTGGGGAAACAGATGTTTTTCGAGTTTATGCTTGAGTCTATGGGTAGACATTTCTTGGGCTTACATTCTAGTCTTTAAGTAGGCGGTGGATGGGCTTACCCTTGTGTCTATAGATAGATGTTGATCAGGCTTACGCTTGAGTAAATAGATAGACATTTTTCGGGCTTACACTTGAATCTATTGTTAGCTACTGCTTGGCTTTACACTTGGGTTTTCAAGCATCCACCCAGATGGTCCATTTTGTTAGAGTCTTATCCCTCTGTGGGGGATGCAGTTAGCATATTTTTGGCCCTGACAACACGGAAGGTAAAAACTGGATAAATGAGCTTTGTTAACTCTGTGTTAGTCACCTCGGATTTCCCCAAAAGGATAATCCCCGTGAGATGTTTTACACACCGTAATGCAAAATAATTACAGTGTTACAATTATGCAATTGTCGTACTGCTGAAAAAATAACATAACGGGCAAATCTCCGTTACAATATACATTAAATCAAAACTTGAACTGAAGATATAATTATTCATTGAAATGAAAATTATAATAAATTTGTTGTATAAACATATGTTGTAAATTGTAAGTGAAACACGCGAATACAACAATAGAGAAAAGTTTTATTCATCAAAAATAGCCACATTTCCATGAATAGAAAAATGTTACATTATCTAAACTCATAATTACAGCATTTAATATATATATATATATATATATATATATATATATATATATATATATATATATATATATATATATATATATATATATATATATATACCAGTGTCATAGCAAAATTGTTTAAATTGTGTAGCAGCATGGGATAATTGTTCATCCCACAAACTTTTTAATATCTAAAAAACCACTAAACTAATTGAGTTTCTTTTACCCATATTTTCAGAAAATACGTTTAGCCATCTTGACATTTGTAAGAATCACTGAAAAAACCTTTGAGATATTCCGCTAGAAAGACAACATGTTAAAACTGTTTTTTTTGTTAGCCCTACTATCTCTTTCCAAATGAGCAATGGTGAGAGGAAAAAGATCATTAAGGCCTTCAGTAATGGTACCAAAATTCATACTCCGGCTTTCATTTTCAAAGTCCATTGAAAAACCATCAAAAGAACGGGGAATAAGTTTTAAAAAATAAGTTTAAGTAGAGAGGAAAACTGGATCAGGAGGTTACAACAGCAAGAAGGATCAACATTTCAATTTAGAGCTAAATACATTCTTATTGTTCAAAGTAGAGTCCAATAGTGTTATAAAACCTCGGAGAATTTCAGTAAGATATCTTTAATCATTTCTAAAATAAAACGGTTCAAAGCTTAATCTAACAATTGGACAATTTTGGTGTTAAATCCGGTATGTGTATATATATGTAATATAAAAAATACAAATCTTGAAAACTTCCTTAATTTCCCTTCGTTAATCTGGTGGGGTGACAAAGACAAAGCGACGTCTGCGTTTCCTGACAACTGAGTTACAACTGCGTCACACCACATGCTACACATCTTCTCTGAGTTAGGAGAGTAGTGGGAGGGAGCAAATGAAACTAAGAAATACGAGTACTTTAAAAATTTGGGGGTAACAAAACACTAACTAACGCAAGTTTAATAATTATAGAATTAATATCAATAAGTTGTGACCATCTTTTGTAGTAAGAGTAACATCATAGAAAAATAAAACGCCACTTGATGATCGGTAATTTTGAAAAAAAATGGTCTATAAGTTCATTGATGTGCTACGCTGAAGAGCAATGGCTCTTCATAGCATTTATGGAATTTGAAAGGTTGTGTTGGTGTATATTTTTGGTGTGTGTGTGTTTGTTCACATTTGTTAAACAGTTAAGAAAGATACAAACAGGTTTCTATACTGTTTTAGATATAAAAAAATCAATTTTAGTGGTCGTATTCAAATTTCTTCCGTGAAAGATTTTCAGCTACGATTAATACGTTACGATTAGTATTTCTTCCATTTTAATTTCAGTTCATTTTTCTCGTGCAAAAAATATTAGATGTTTTCGAATTTCTTAGATGAAGCATTATTATTATTATTATTATTATTATTATTATTATTATTATTATTATTCATGTTATTTTTTTTTTTTTTTTTATCCTGTGTTTTACATAGACAAAGTTTCGTTCTGGATCCCAACCATTTTTATAATTCAGGCCCATGGTTATTCTTGTTTTCAAATTTCACATTCCTTGGTTTGCTATATAACATTTTTCACTAAACAGTATATCTTCCATAAATCCCAACTGAGATATAACTACGTCACACGTGACGATTTTTTATATTCATTTGTATAGAACAGATTAGATGGTCTATTGTTTCTTGGTATTTGTCCTCACCACATAAGTCCTGAAAATTCCTAGTGAAAAAGACTCTGTGAAGAATAAAGCCTTCAGTTTCAGACTTTAATCCAGATGCTCGAACCATCGGTGAGTATTAACAAACATTGGGTTTTATTTGCAACAAGTTTGTCTTGCCAGCGTTGTTTCATCTGTTCAATTTATCCTTGGCTTTCTTTTCATATCTTTGCTGCAATAGGGGTTCTTGGCTTCTGTTTTGATTTACTACAGAATCTACTAAATTTAAATGTTGTTTGTATTTACTGCCTTCTTTTATTATGTATTATTATTATTATTATTATTATTATTATTATTATTATTATTATTTCCTGTGTTTAATTAATTTCGGAACTCAGAACTAAACAGTATATCTTCCAACTCTGAGATATAACTACGTAATTTCAATCCTCACTGTCTAGTGACTAATTTCAACAAATGTAACAAGTCGCCAACTGGTAATTAAGGGGGGTTAATTTAAACTGCCCAGAACTGGAACTAATTTCAACTTGTAACTAATTTCAACTTGGAACTAAGGGTTACGAGCCCGTGGAAACACCTCTTAATTGCTGGTGATCCCAGGTCCACCCTGACCCGGAGTGGTAGCACTGGTTAGGGCCCCAGTTATGGGTATATGGTTAATCCCCAAACTGGGGTCAAAACAATGTGAAAGTGTAAAAATTGGTTTTAATGCCAGAAATACTTTGTAAAATTTATTACCAGCAATAAGTTTTGGAATAAAAATTATTACCAGCAATACATTTTTGAAAAAAATATTACCAGTAATAAAAATTTTGTCGGCATTACGGCATTCAATAATCCATTGGGGTTGATATGCTGTAAAACGAACCAAACAAAACCTAGTGCCCAGATCTTGTTCTCTCAAGACAAAAATACTATAATATAAATATATATGAGCTGTTCGATAAAGTGAAAGTGAATGATATAATATCATTTCTCGAAACCTCGAAACAGTAGGACTTTGCTAAAATTATAATCAAAATGAAAATGTTAAAATCAATTTCTCTACAAACTGTGTATCTGAAAAGAATAAATCAAGCAGATTCTCAACAACAACCCTTTTTACAAAACTATATCAATGAAACCAGATCTACAAACTTTTTCCTTACAAAGAATATATATTATATTCATAGTAATCTATTGTAAAAAATGTTGTCTGCATTATATAATCCATTGAGGTTGATAGGCCTTAAAACAAAACAAACCAGCCAAACCAATCAATATGATTGATGCGAACTTATACACATCCAACTAAATATGCTCCATTTACACAGACTGGTACATATCGCTTGGAAAACTGTACACTGAGCGACTTATTTTATTACCTAATAACTATTATAACAAAGACACCTCACGTTAAGAAAACATGTCCAGTGTCCAAAGACTTTATAAACAAAAAGGTCCACACATATAGTGACGAGACAGGAAAAGTGCTGCTCCAGTCAGTCAGAAAAACTTGTCTTGCCTTCCGGCTATTAGAGACACAGAACTACCTTCCACTAGAGTCAGAAGAACAACATTGAGTTAATAAGAAACAGATATAAAAGAAAGAACCGAAACAAAAGAAAAAGTCTCCACTATAGATGCAAGAGAACAAATGAAAGCAAAAAAATACTGCTGGAGACGTGGAAAGAAAAAAAAAAGAGACAACATATGTTAAAATAAAATTCTCTGTATTGTTGGTATAAAGAATCAAAGCAGAATATCTCTTATGGGTGAGGGAAGTAACCTATAGGATGGGGAGAGTCAGTAGTGTACAGCTTGTCTTGGGTTGGTTGACATGGTTCCGGGTGGTGAATTAGGTCTTAGTTGTTGTCTTTCTTTTCGGCGTCTTCTTTTTTGATCTATTTCGGCTGATCGTTTGGATTCGAAGATTGTTGTTCTATCTCTGAAAATGGATCTCTAGATATTTTTGTGTATTGCACTGAATTCCCAGCTGTTGATGTCAATGGTACATTTTTTTCATGTTTTAAGTCCTTGAATGTCCTCTTTTGAACTCCTCTTTTCGGATTTCCTTCTTTGAGTTGGGAGTAAAAGATTTGCTTTGGTAGACGTTTGTCACCCATTTGCATCAGATGTCCACTCCATCGAAGTTGATTTTTATGACGATGGCTGCAATGCTAGTCATTTTAGCTTGTTCCAGTATGCTGACATAAGTTCTTCTTTCTCCCCAACTGAGGTTTAAGATACTTCGAAGACAATACAGATGAAATTTTTCAAGGAATTTCAGATTTCATTGATATGTTGGCAAACACTAAGTACAAGTTGTCTGAAAAAAGGCTTTTTTAATTTCCATTTCACAATGCCTGTGTTCAACATCTACTGATACTTATATATATATATATATATATATATATATATGTGTGTGTGTGTGTGTGTATTATAATTATTTTCTATTTAAAAATATGGTTCCATCGCTAAACAGGAATTACTATGTTTCAAAACAGAAACTAAAATTCTAAATTATAAAATTAAATTTAAAATCCATAGCTCCGTTAACTCTTATTGTTCTTTCTTATTATTTTAACACACACACACACACACACACACATATATATATATATATATATATATATATATATTCTAAATTTAGGCAATACAGGAAAAAAGCAAACAAAACATTCTATAGCTAATATTTAAAAAAACTTCAACAAAATTTAAAATTATTTGCTTTTGATTTGAACTAATTAACTTTACTTTTTTAATTGAACCAATTGTAATTTTTCACGAGAAGATAAAATATAAACACTCACTTCAACATTTCCAGCGGGTAACCTGTGATGCCGACAAAACGCACTTTTTTAGCAGCTCTTAAGCTGTCAAGAGCAACAAGAGTCTCGTTCAACACTATTTCTGGATTCGGAGCAAATTCAATGTCATGAACCTGGAAAATGTTTACAAATTCTTCAGTCACAATATAACATAAAACACACTATTTTTCTAGGTCTTAATTTGTCAAGATTAACAAGTGTCTCATTCAACACTATTTCTGGGTTCGAGGAAAATTCAGTCTTCAAACTTTATCTGGTCAGGTCGAACTTAGGCCTGCCTCTAGTAACATGTAACCCAGTACAACCTGCATGTATGGGTGGTTGGTGTCTAAAGCAGCCCTCCCACTAGGTTTTCTGCTGGTGATGAGCATGGCATGTCACCCTGCAGGACGAAAAACAAGACCTGTCAAAGGATGGAAGAGCTTCTTATAGGAGTCAACAGTCAACATTATATATATATATATATATATATATATATATATATATATATATATATAAAAGGCTAGGTGGGGTCCATGGCGTTCTATATTAACAGGCCTCTTCGTAGCGCTGCTACCTCGATAGACTGGAGGCCGGCTGACAATTAGATCGTTTTAGTTTCAGTTTGAGCGAACTGCTGTGTACTGTGTACTCTTATGTTTTTGGCTCGAGAAATTCATAGGAATCTTTTAATTTTACCTTTGGTTGGAATATCATTTAACTTATTTATTTGAAGTAAGTATATTTGATTATTTTAGTTTGAGTCCATACATTATTTATATTTAAATTGTAAAAAGTAAACTTTGGTGCTTAAATTTACTCGCACAAAAAGATTTACTTAAGTTTAAAAAACCTTAACATTTTTAAATTAAAGTTTAATTCATTTTTGGCATTTTCCCTCTTAAAGTTTGTTCAACATTTTTTGATTAAAGTTTAAAGAATTATTTATTGATAAAATGCAATTCTTTTTGAGAAATGTGTGTTATTTTAAGAAGCACAACAAAACAACGTTTAACAAATTTGAACAGAATTTAATTAAGTTTCTTCAAAGACGTAAAGAAAACTATTTTTATTATAAAATGAATTAAAAATGTTTGTTTTTTTCCATAAATTCAATGTCATTACTTAATTTGATATTTATTTTTGATATCGCTAAAAAAAACATTGTTATGAGTGAAAACATAACGTCAACGAAATTAAAGTTTAATTTTCTCAAGTTTTTAACCATGATAAAATTAGCATAAGTCAACATTTTTCTATTAAAAGTTTAAGTTTGAATAATAAATTTGAATAAAAATTTTAATAGAGAAAGGTTCATTAACCTTTCTCTATTAAAACTTTATCCAACATTTCCATTAAAAGTAAAAAAAAAACCCAAAACAAACGAATTTCTTCGCGCTTTTGTTTCCGAAGTTAAAGAATAAATGATTATTTTTACTACATTAGTTACCAATTGGTGAACTGTAAGTATTTTTTACTTATTAGAATTAAAGAAAAAACTAACAATAATAAATTTATTACATGCAATTAATGTCAATATTTTAATTATTTTCTTTTTTTCTTTTTTTAGAAAGGTCTCCTTTTTTACGCCTTTTGACTACAAAATTTATTTTACAAGACAAGTATAATAATAAAATTTTATTTATCATATTTATTTTAATATTTTTCTGATATTGTTGTTAAAGGACAAAATGCATTATTTTTACTTTACTTTTAATTGTTTTGCTTTAAGATAAAAAAGGTTATATATATTCCTATTTATATAGTTTAAAGCGTATTAAAATAACCAAACTAAAGGAAAGGCAACTTATGCATGTTTTTAAATTTAATATAAAGTTTTAAAGTAAACAACATTAGCCTTCAAATTTTGATACCATAAAAGTTAATGGAAAATACGTCCCCAAAATCCACCATCTGTATGGCCAGGTGTGCCAAGTAGTCAAATACCAACACCCTAAGCTGTTCAAAGGAATATAAAAAAAAACTCTAATACTGTTAGAAATCAAATTGCTGATGAACTTAATGCTTTTTTAGAATTAGATAAAATTATACAAATTTGAAAGAAAGTCTGCTTAACAACAAAAAAGACTTTATATGTCCATTTGTAGCATTTTGGGATGAAAATATTTTAACTGTTCAATTATCAAAATCTATTGATGGTATTCCTCTCTTTATGTTGAAAATTTATAACAATTTGCGCTTTGAAACATTTCATTATGGAGTTAAGTGTTATATTAGCAGCCTGTCCAAAAATCATATAAATACAGTTGATACTTGGTCAAAACTGGAAGAAATCATCCGATATTTAAATTCTATGGCTTTTGATCACAAGAAAAAATATCCTGAGTCAACAATTTTAGCAATGGCTCCCAAAAATGGTTGGAATAAAATACAGCTCAGATATAGTTGTGCATGCTTTTGGGTACTATGCAAGATCACGGACAATGTATAATGAATTAAGATATGATTTTTAATTACCCTCATTAGCAACATAAGGATGACATCAAAAGTTTCAAAACTTAATGAAAAATCTTTTTTGTTATCTATATTTAATACTCTTAATACCAGTTAAAAAGGGTGCATAATTCTCCATGATGAAGTATATATAAAAAAGATGTTGCTATATCATGGCAAACAACTATTTGGTAAATCAGTTGACAATCCATCTGTACTTGCTCAAACAGTACTTGGTATAATGTTGATATGTCTCAATGGGGGTCCAAATTTTCTTACAAAATTGATTCCAATTACAAAATTAACATCCGCTTTTTTATTTGAACAAACTGAGTTAACAGTCCAAGCCATCACATCTGTACCAGCTGATGGCAACCACGTAAATCAAGCTTTTTTTAAATTATATCCTACACTTCCTGAAAAACCTTGGTTAACTGAAGATAAACATTTGCTTTTTGATTATGTTCATCTGTTGAAAAATATTCGCAATTTGTGGCTGACAGAAAAAAACAGAACTAATCTTTGATGATGATGGAGTAAGTCGAGTTGCAAAATGGACACATCTTAAACAGTTATATCGTTTTGAATCTGAAAGACTAGTCAAACTTTCAGATTTAAACGAAATTTCCATTGCTCCAAAGCCAATAGAAAGACAACGGGTTTCTACTTGCCTCAGAGTGTTTTCTGAAAAAACATATAATGCACTTCTCACTCAGTCTGAAATAAGTGCAGGTAAGAATGATACTGCCCTCTTCATAAACAAGGTTTTGACATGGTGGAAAATTTTAAATGTTAAATGCCTTCAAATTGATAAATTACATAATAATCCTCTATAAGCTGAAATCAAATCTCCAAATGACACCCGACTTGATTTTATCATTGAATTTGATAAAATGGCTCTTAATATGTAAAAAACAATTATCCCAAAACACTGCTACATCATATTTGCAATGGAATTGTTAGTCTGTTGACACCTTTTAGCTACAAGTCATAAATATGTACTACTTGGGCAATTTTCAACTGATCCATTAGAAAAAGAATTTGGTAAACTTTGCCAAGGATCAGGTGGCACCTATTTTATAAATGTTCAACAATGTATTGAAAAGCTGCATATCAAGCAGACATCTTTACTTTTAAATCAAAATGTAAATATTGATGAATTTGATGTTAATTCAGGTCACCAATGTACATCTTGTGATTATAAACTTTGTGAGGAAGGTTCAGAAATATTTGACAATCTGGAAAATTTAGAACCATCTCTTTCCAATGAAATAAAAATGGCTCTTGTGTACATAGCTGGATATATTACAAGAAATGATAATCAACCCAGTGAATGTGAAACCCATTTTTATTATGAAAAGTATGGAAAATATACCAATTTAATTGACCGTGGAAAACTAAAATTCCTTCTGACCACACTTGTCAATGGTTATTTTTTGTTTCATCCTTTTCCATACAATAAAGGAAAAGGTTTGCTATAAATCATTAAGTAACATTTTTATGCTTATTTCTGAGTTTCATTTTTTCAACATGGAGAAAAAGCATGCTTCTATTTTTGCAAATATAGTTTTAAAATTTTTTTGCAAACATGGCACACTTAAATCAGAAAAAGAACCAGCTCTAAACGTTTTGAAACTTTCCTAGAATGATTTTGTTTTATTTGTCTATATTTCTGTGATGATTGATTGTTATATACACTTCGGCTGATGTCTTCCAGCTTTCTTGGGTTCTGTTTGTCAAACCCAGTAACTGTAATGTAAATTTAAACCAAAGTCTTTACTCACTCACAGGGAATAGATTGAATAAAGGATTCAGTGACACCTGTAAATGATATAAATTTCTGATTCAATATATCTTTTACCAGAAATCATTTGTGCTGTTTAATAATTATCAGTGTTCATAGCAAAAATACATATTTTCATTTATTTATCTTTCAACACATCCTATTATCCTCAGGTGTGAATAAAAATGTTATTCTAAGTATTTCATAAAGTGGTTGACTTCATTTTCTTCTAAAATTTCTGAAAATCCTACATTTTTCAATAGGCCTCCAGTTCTGGCTCTCAGTTGCGCCATGACTTGGCCTGGAGTATAGAACGCCATGGTGGGGTCTCAAGCTTTGAATGGCAACCTTTTTGGAGATGTGGTCTCAATAAAAACACTTAGTGTACTTGAACTACCGTGAGTCTCAGAATTGGATATCAGAAAGTTATGCGCTTTCTTTTGGGGATTTACCATTTTAAAGTGATTATATCTTTTCTCCTTGTTAATCTTCCTCTCATTTTAATGAATACTAGCAGTAGAGCCCGGCGTTGCCCGGGGATGTAACAGTAAGAGATAGATCAAGTATCGACCATCATAAAGACGGAAAAATAAAATTGACAAAGATTATTGTTTAAGGTTGACGGACACGCATGTCTTAATTATTTTTTTTTTTTTTACGAATTGGTCAAACCCAAACTCAGACAAAAACATTGTTTTCAATCGTTATGAGTCTACCGATTGAATAGAATTTTATTATAAACAATTGTCTTGTAAATGGAAGTTTTAAAGCATTCTGAATGTAAAAATAAAGAAAAAAGTGTGCTAGACAATAAGAAACACTAACTGCCAAAAAAAAGTGAAATTTTGTTGAAATCAGTTGAAAAATGTAGGAAATCCGATCCCATATATAAACGAACACACACACACACACACACACAAACAACCTGGGTTTTATAATAAGTATAACTCGATATGAGTTGTCCCCCTTTCATTCTCAACAGCGATGCCTCTTAATCGTGTTTTCAAATTGATTTTGTGCAAAAACAATTGTGTTTTTCCAATTTTTGGCGCTGTCAGAACCACCGCAAGGTAATTTTACGTAGTGCTGTGAAGTTTTGTTGAAATCGGTTGAAAAATGTAGGAAATCCGATCCAATATATAAACGTACACACACACACACACACACACACAACCTGGGTTTTATAATAAGTATGATGTCTGTTTCTATATCATTAAAATCATTTTTAGTGATGTTGATTCTCCATAGTTGATTCCGTTTTGTGGTCTTTTGCTATTTTAAACTACACACTAAGTCATGGAGAGTACATATGTGATTTACCTGTACAAGGTCGATGTAAGAGACTTTTAACCTCTCCAAACTCAGGTTGACACTTTCCAAGGTTTTCTTCGCTGAAAAGTCAAACATTTTACTTTTGTCTTGTTGGTAACGCCCAACTTTTGTGCAGAGGAAGTAAGCTTTTCGAGGTATAGTCAACAAAATCTGAAAATACAAAAGAATTTAGAGTAAGTCTTAAACCAATTTACATCGTAAAAAAATATTCAAATTTTCACTTTCACATGGAATCAAAGACTAATGACTGCTACAAGTGAAAAGTACAAATAACCTAAGTTGAATTATAGAATTGCAATAATGGTTTGTAAGTTTATAATTTTCTTTTAAGTTACATTTATTTGTCATTAATTACTTTAGTGAGGGTGAGGATGTTGTGAACTACCGCAGAGGGCAAAGAGGCGCAGGGTTGCATGTATTTTTTGCAACGTTAGAACAAAATCAAGAATAAAATACCTTACCTCTAGCGCAAGCAAAGATTTGAACATGCATCGCGGTGTAAACTGTCCAAAGGCGAAAGAAATGGCGGCTTCGCGGGTTACGCATTTAAAATAGCTAGATCCCGGAGTAAGATAATCTCTCGCGAGATTACCTTTGTGCATATGCAAATTTTGGCTGTCAATGATACATAAAAACGGGAAGAACGAGGCAACAAAGGAGAGAAAAGACAGAAAAGGCGGTTGACTGCTGTGGTGAACTCGTTCCACGTGTCACGGACAAGAGAAAAAGAAATTTGTAGGAATTGTTTTGCTACAGTAGATAATCTAATGCAGTAGTTATCAAATCTTTTTGTTCAATGCACCCTTTTTACCATATGTCAAAATGTTATTCTCCCGGTCTCTAAGATTGTCTGTCACAAAAATTGCATTCCAAATAACATGCATATATTATTGAAAATTTTCATTCTTTTCCATATTAGTACATATACATTGACATGAATTATTTTTATAGAGAAGTTTTACAAAATTAATAGCAATAAAAAATATTGATTGATTTTTAAACTTGAATATATGTAGAGTAATTTGTTTTAAATCACAACTAATTATTAAATAAACTGAAGCATAATCCAATAAACAAAAAGTTCAATAAAAAGTGAGAGTATTTAAATTGATTTCATTCTGAAGTCAATAAGAAACCTGTGAAAAAGTAAAAGATTTTTCCTTCTTCATCTCTGAATTCCCTACTGGTTGAGAATCCCTGGTCTAATGGTTCTTGGCACAGAAAGTGAATTAAGCATGCCGAGTTCAATTCTTACTTGATTCCGTTTCGTTCACTTCATGTTAATGTCCTTTGAAAAGGCATGAATCCATTTTGCTCCAGTTATGGGTTTGTAGCTGCTGCTCATAAGGAAGTAGCCAATCCAAAAATTTGCTGTAAACGGCATATAACGAGCCCTTTGATTGGTCAATAAATAAGCCAATGCCAGCACTGCCTCGTTTTCCATCTTGTTGGATAATTAAAGAAACTCTCTCTCTCTCTCTCTCGATTTTTTTTTTTTTTTTGCCTATTGACGGGTGAAAATGTGCTGAGCTGGCCCTTGGAAAACAGCCATGTGGAAACTTCAATGAACACTATGTAACAGGTTAATAAATATCTCTATTTATTTAGAGATATATTCAGTACCTTCAGGAAAAGAGTTTATCCCCAGGGACATTCATGCTGATATGGTTGCTACATCAGGGGGTGATGCTTCAGCTTTATCAACAGTGCAAAAGTAGGTAACTGAATTTAGGAGGGGGAGGGAGAGTCTTGAAGATGACCCAAGGTATAGATTCCCTGCGACTGCTACCACCAAAGAAAATATTGATCGTATTCACCACATGGTGATGGATGACAAGCAGTTATAAATGAATCAAATAGCCAATGCTATTAGCATATTCCGTGAGAGAGTTGAGAATGTTCTACACAATGAACTTGCCATGGCGAAGGTTTCTGCGCAGTAGGTGGGTGCCACATCTGTCACCTGATCAAAAGCGCACAGATTGATCACATCACGGAAAAAATCTCATTGTTTAAGGGAGATCCAGCTGGTTTCCTTTAAGATTTGCAAACTCAAGATGTTGAGTTCATCATTTTGAGTCCAAGACAAAGAGAAAATCCATGCAATGGAAACACTCCTTCTCATCTGCTCCAAAGAAGACCAAGGTCGTTTTATCTACAGAATGGCCTCAGATTTTGGGAATGCAATAGTCATTGTGTTTATTGACTATCTTCAAAAGGGCCACACCATCAATGGAGAGTACTATACCAACAATGCGGAAGCAGTTACAAAATGTTATCAAGACCAAACACTCAGGAAAACTGACGAATGGGGTCTTGTTTCATCAGGACAATGCTCCAGCAAACAAGTCCTTCATTTCAATGGCTGTTGTGCATGACTGTGGCTTTGAACTGGTTGATCACCCTCCCTATTCTCTTGATTTGATTATCATCTGTTTCCCAACATGAATAAACACTTGGCTGGGAACCAGTATCACAGTGATGATGACATTATATCTGCTGATAACTTTTTTGAACAGTCAGATGTCAGTTTATCTTGAAAGAAACAATGCAAAGCAAACATGGACAATAAACTTTGTCGAAGAATGAAGATAGTTAAAATAAAAGCAGTGTCATAGGAAAAATTGACCTTTGGACACTACGGTTTTTTGTGGACATGAAGGACCGTGTTTTCCCATTGCAGTTATTAATAAGAATAGTGGGAATTAATTCATGCACGATTGTACGGGTCGAGCATCACTCTTTCATAATTAGCTTATCAATCTTTCATCCCACCATCGTATGGTATTACTTTGCAAGTTACAGGTAAAGTTGGTTAATGTAGGTAACTTATTGGTGTTTTTTTATCACCTGTGTCATGTTTTTAATTTGTTTCTGTTGTGTATTTTTAATGAATATTTTTAATGTATTTTTAATGAATATTTTAATGTATTTTTAATGAATATTTTAATGTGTTTTTAATGAATATTTTCCTATTCTGTGTGGTCTACATGAGAGCATTGCCGGAAAACCCACTATCGTTTAGAGGTGTTTCATAATGTCTTTTGGTTTTATTAAAGATAGTTTCTTTAGAAGATTTGTCAGATAATCTGTGGTCAATAGATTATAAACTCTGCTTGATTATTATTGGATAATGGTTTGGAGATGTGTGCATGTAAAGTGGATTGTCATTGGGTTTTCCATGTGGCTGAGATGTAGCTTTTCTGAAGTAGAATGTTACATCTAGAAATTTACTTCTACATTTTTATGATTACTTTTCTGGATTTATCTTTTTTGTTTGCTAGACTTTCTTAGGAATACGTGTCTGTCTCTGTACAGACCTATATTATTTTACTTAGTTCATGTAGAATGTATATGCCTATCAGCTCAAAGATTTTGTCACTGTCAAAACTCTCCATCATAACATCAAACATTCCTTCTCTAACTTTCTTTAACCAAGTGACTTCATTGTAGAATATCATTTATTTTCGGCAATTTTGATAATTTTTTTAGTTAGTCTGCACTTTATTTTTTCTGTTCTCTATCTAAAGAGATAGATTTATCTATCATGGTTTTAGTTATTGAAAGTTAGATATCTTTTTTTATCTCGTTGGATAAATTCACAATTATGTTTATTTTTAGATGACGCAACTAGTCTATTGATGTTTGTGTTTTTCCACTGATTTATTTCTAACTTCACTCTTAGTTCTGAGTTAATTACTTCTAATATTATTTTATTCATTTTACCTAGTTCTCTTTTTAGTTCAGCTTTTAAGTCTACATGTTGGGTTTGTTTAGAAATTACCTTTATGGTCTTTTAGTGTGATGAAGGTTTGTAACTTAGCTTGTGATTTAACAAAGGAACACATAAAAATATGTACCGACCAATTAAAAATCATCGCCTTAAACGCGCTATCCTCCAGCAATACACGGGTTGACATTTTTTTTTTAGGTAAAAACATTTGTTATTATCATTATTATTATTTCGATAAAGACAGTGTGGACATAAGAATGAATGCTGTGTGGTTTAACAATAAAATAGTCCTGGGCATGACGATAAACTACATCCGGCAGCAAGGCCTCTGTTCCGGAGGTTTTGAGGAGCTTGGAATCACCTCCTAATTACTGTTGTCCCCAGGTTCACTCTGATCTAGGGTGGTAGTACCTGTTAGGGTCCCAGCTATGGGCAAATAGTGAGCCCCCAAACTGGGGTTAAAACATGAAAATATAAAAATAGAATAGAAAAAATTACCAGCTAATAACATTGGCTCTTTGATTTATAGTGAATTATCTGTCATCTATCACCATGTGGCGAACATGGTCAATGTTTTCCTTGTTGGTGGCAGGTAATTAAATATTACCAGCAATACATTTTTTGAAAAAGAAAAAAAAAATTCTAAAACTAGCAAGAAAATAAAATGCTTGCATTAAATGATCAATAAACAGTTAATATGCCGTTAAGCAAAGCAAACCAAACCAAATTAACAGCAGAGATAATTTTCTTTGTTTATACAACGTCTTTTTCGAACATGTTTCAAGAAATTAGTGAATTATAATACCTGTCCGAGTAAACATTCCGATCTTCCTTCTCCATACCAAGGAGCAGTGTCGATAAGATTGACACCGCGTTTAATTCCCTCTCTCATGACTTCGATTGCTTCATTTACATCTATGTTATTATAAATGCCTGCAAGGCTCGAACCACCTAAGAAAAAGGAAAAATAAAAAGAATAATCCAAGCAGTTAGTGTTACTGTCGGTACAAATTTATAAAATCTTTCTCTTAAAAAATATTTTCAGGAAAATAGATTTATAATTTATAACGGATTTTATTTTTACTTTTTATAATTAATAACAGATTTTAATTTTATGTTATTTATGATTAATAAAAGATTTTGAATTTTTCTTTACCGGATTTTATTTTGACTGTTAATAATTAATACTGGATTATAATTTTACATTTTATAATTAATAGAGAATTTTAATTTTACTTTTAATAATTAATACCAGATTTTATCTTTACTTTTTACAAAAAATAACGGATTTTAATTTTATTTTTATAATTAATAGGATATTTTAAATTTTTGCTTTTTATAATTAATACTGGATTTTAATTTTAATTTTATAATTAATACAGGATTTAATTCTACTTTCTATAATTAATACTGGATTCTAATTTTACTTTTTTAAATTAATGATGTATTTTAATTTTATTTTTTATAATTATTAAAGGATTTTAATTTTACTTTCTATAATTAAGACCGGATTTTAATTTTATTTTATAATAAATAATATTTTTTACTTTTTATAATTAATGCTGATTTTAATTTTACTTTTAATAATTAATACAGGATTTTAATTTTACTTATTATAATTAATACCAGATTTGAATTGGACGTTTTATAATTAATACAGGTATATTAATTTTACTCTTTATAATTAATAACGGATTATAATTTTACTTCTTATAATTAATACAGAATTCTAATGTTATTTTTAATAATTAATACAGGATTTTAATTCTACTTTTTATAATTAATCCAGGATTTTAATTTTACTTTTAATAATTACTACAGGATTTTAATTTTATTTTTTTATAATTAACAATGGATTTTAATTTTAATTTTTATAATTAATAGTATATTTTAATTTTAATTTTTATAATTAATACAGGATTTTAATTTTACTTTTTATAATTGATAACGTATTTTTACATTAATTTTCATAATTAATAACAGTTTTTACTTTTTATAATTTACACTCGATTTTAATTTTAATTTTTATAATTAATACCGGATTTTAATTTTACTTTTTATAATTATTGCAGGATTCTAATTTTACTTTTCATAATTAATAAAGAATTTTAATTTTGCTTTTAATAATTAATGCGGGAATTTAACTTTAGATTTCATAATTAATTTCATAATTTAATTCTACTTTTTATAATTAATACGGGATTTTAATTTTAATCTACATAATTAATAACGGATTTTAAGGTGAACCTTAGTTAGATAATACATTTATTCATTTACTTATTCAGCCTTTTTTTGAGCCGCTGTTTTCACCACTCTCCTTATTTCTATAATTGTAATTGCAGTTCATGTTGACATTCATGGCAAAATATTGCAATGGCTTTGCCAGATACTTTTGCTCTAGGGATGTTGAGGCTATCCCGACCGTCCTTTCAGAAGTTCCTCCGCCTACTGGTAACTGGCCAATGGCTAACAACTGGTTGATGGTTGCTTGGAACAGGTGGGTTGGCATTCCTCCTCACTGATTAGGTCGGGAAACCCTTCTGACTAGTCTCACACTGTTTAGCTGGCAGGTCGATGACGTTGACCGTGGTGTGGCAATCACAGTGCCCATGCGTCTTTTTCACATGTGAAAGTTGGATGCAGGCTGCGGACCATTACAATTCCGCATCCCAATTCACCTTAATAAAACAGGGTCGAGCACTTCGCTACAAAGTGTAGTGTTCCTAAATAGTGTACATAATACCTCATCTCAGAAATATAGACAGATACTGAAAATTTACTTGTATTATTTACATTATTCGGACTGTTATCCTCATCTTCATTGCCATACTCAAAACGTTTCGGCCGTTATACGCCCCGGCCTTCTTCAGGTGATTGGCATTTCGAACGGAACCATTATTTCGTCCACCAGAGTAGATTTTTTCTAGTTCCAATGCCATGCCTCTTCCGGATGTCTCTGTTATTGTTGTGGTAGGATCCACCTAATTTGCATAGTGGAGTACCGACCATATAAATATGGTTGGTACGGGGAAGAGAGGGTGGAATCAAGAGATTCAACCAGAGACTCTGCCCGACTGCGACTAAGTCAACACATTCTCCAGGAACGGTCTTACCAGGAATATACAAAAGACTATATGTAAATATTGTGTACACTTTCTTGTTTCAATACATTTTGTTCTAAGTACATTTTGTGTTGCATTATTATTCCATGCATTAGTCAAGTTTCAACAGTTATTTCCCTTTAACACAACATTCCAAGTTTTTGGTTCACCACTTCTGTGGCCTGGTATTGAACTCGCAACTCTTTGGATCTAGTTACTGGATCTAACCAACGGTGAACGAAATCAAGGGTTCGATCGAAATTCCAATCACCTGAAGAAGGCCGGAGCGTACAACGGCCGAAACGTTGTGAATATGGCAATGAAGATGAGGATAACAGTCCGAATAATGTAAATAATATAAGTAATCATAATACCTCATCTCAGAGATATAGACAGATAATGAAAATTTAATTTAATTGGGGCATCTCCCTTATTTTTAATGAATTTTTAAAAACTGTAGCGTGGTGTGTTTTTCGCTTTCATTGTCGAAAGTGCGCACATATTTTGATGATGCTGTGCATGTTAACAAGGTTGTGGGTTTTGTGTGTATTTTTGGGTGAATGTTTGTGTTCAGTATTTAAACAACGAAGATAGAAGAAGCATACAAAAAACTTGAGTTTCTGCTACGGAGGTTTATTCCTTTTATGTTGACTGCATTGAAATAAAGTTAAAAGGTCTCTTGAGTATGTCCGTTTTCCTTTTGGTTCTGTACTGATTTATGGGAAGTAAAGATACGAATGGCTAAACATGGTCGAACTCAAGTCAGCCTCACAATGAATTGGGGAGACCAAGTACGTTCGTTTTTCTTTTTGGTTCTGAAATGATTTATGGGAAGTAAGGATATGAACGAGTAAAGCTGGTTGCGCTCAAGTCAGCTTCGCGCTGAGTTTGAAAGACCGATTCTCTTCTTCATGAATAGAGCTGATGGAAAAGGTACAAACAATCTAGTTGGAAAGTGGAAAAAGTTCCGTCGTCAGTGGACCGGGGAAAGTAACATTCTCCAATGAGAACGCTGTTACTGCATAAGAGCAGAAAGATGCTGTCCTTTCTGGAAGTGGCGTCATAAAATCGTACATGTGACCAGAAACCGTTTCTAGTTTCTTTATAACTTGCATCATGGGAAAATTATTTTTTTTTTTTATTCTTGATAATTATTTTGTTTATTGGTTTTATTTCATTTTCCCCACAAGTTCCTGAAAGGGTGTGTAAATTTAAGGAATGTTCTTATGATATTCTCCTTGAAAAGGAGGAATAAATGTGGCTAAACTTATTCTGTTGGTGAATGAAAGAGTGAGAAAGTGTTCAGTCAATACCGTGCATGTGTCCCGGGATCTTATCTCATCTGCAGATTGGTATGAAAGAAGGCTTTTTTTCTTGAAAGTTGCACTACGTATCTCCATTTTTTCTCCACTTGACCAAAAGTGAAAAATAGGTAGCTGCTGCTAATAGGGTTTTCAATGCATATGTATTTGGATAAACAGGGTGAAATTGAGGGTTTCATACCCTGGGTCAGGATTTGGCTGAAATAAATGTAATTATGAAGATTCTTCTATTGTTAGTTGTTTTGGTGATGCGTTGGTCTTGTCTGAATGTAATTTCCTTTATAGAGATGTATTTTTGGGAGGTTAAAAAGAATAATCAGGCTACAACAGGATTATAAAACAAAATCATACATGAGATACAACAAAATAAACATAGACAAAAACGATAAAATGCGTTAATATACATTTCAGAGAAATTATTGTATATTTTAAAGAACATATATGTATACAGGAATAAAGAAATTTTGTTTATCTATTGGTGGCAATATGTTTTATCAGTGAATTGTTCAAGACGTCTGCCTCCTTTAGTCGTTGAAAAATGAAGAGAGATAATTTTTTGACTTTTGTTTCTTTTGGTGATAAAACCCTTGTTCTGGTGCATTATGGGAATATTCTATATATGTTTAAATATTTTTTTATAATCTAGCATCTTATAATCTTTTCGCAATTATCGTCAGTGCATCAGCAGTTGACCTGGAGAAATGAAAACCATATAAATTTAATGTCCTTATAATAATTCCTGCAAAAAAGAAGAAATGAATGTGGTTGAACTTACTTTGCTGTTGAATGAAGTAGTGAGTAGGTGTAATGTTTAGGCTAGGAGTTCTGAGAGCATAGTGATTTTTTTGTTTAGCAGCATATCAAACTCTATGGGTCATTTAATGTCAAAATCAAAATATTTTGAACAATTTTATGGCTTCAACTAAATATATTTTGAACACAATTTCTGCTACAGATAAAATTTATTTTTGGTAATATTTTAAAAATGTATCGCTGGTATTTTTACAATAAAAATGTATCTTTATTCTTTCATGATGTTTTGTTTGGGTGTTAACTATTTGCTCATAGCTGGGACCCTAACAGGTGCTACCACCTTGGGTCAGGGAGGAACAACAGCAATTAAGAAGTGGTTCTATGCTCCTCAAAACCTCCAGTTTCCTGATCAGAGGTCTTGCTGCTGGATGTAGTTTATCGCCATGCCCAGGACTATGACCATAATATGAAAATGGCTAGTCTCTTGAAATTCACGCTACACATGTTCCCATTGTTTTTATGCACCTGCCCAAAACATTGAGAAAGATAGCTGCTGCTAATAGGAATTTTAACGTACGCGCATCTGACTAAACACACTGTAGTGACTGCTACACCAGCATCTTAGGCATTAGGACTATTATTAATTAAAATGTAGGTAATTCAGTTCGCCCGTCGTTTGCGATGACTGAAATAGATTAAAGTGCTTGCTTTCTTCTTCAGTCTTCCGCTCTACCAACTGAGCCGTCGCGAGTGACCTCTTCCTTATTCTTTCATTCTTGTCAGTACGTACGCCGTCAACGCCAACAAAAATTCTGCCGTCTTTCTCACAGACTCGATATTTATGCCTGCGTCGGGGGCAACTAAAATTTGCACACGAGACTTAATTCTCGTTCACCCGAAACTTCCTATTTTATAAATTCAATCTGGTTTGAATTCTTAGTCTTTTTCTTTTCTTTGTACGTCTGCTCGCGAGATAGGAATTTCGGAATAATCCATTTCACTTTTAATGCCGGACGCGATCTTTTAACAGGACTTGACACGCCAAGCAAATTCGCTTTGCGGGAGGTAAGTCTTCTTGTTCCTCACATAAAACTTATTGCTTATTACCAGAGTTGACCGTGGGTAACTGAAAGCATGGGAAACGAAACCGTGGATAAGGAATAACCACGTTATACATAATATTAATTTGAAAGGTATAAATTGACAAATGATTTACAAGCGTTTGACGAAGATCTTTTTTAATCGTAAAGATACGATACAAAAGAGTAACTATAAACGTTTGTTATGATTACTTCGTGAATGTGGAAAAGACTTACCAAGACTCAATTTGGATACATAGAAACCAGTTTTCCCAAGCATTCGATATTCCATACACCTTACCCAGTCCTCATAATGGAAACCGGCGATATAAGTTGGGGGGAATTCTCCTGGGTTTAAGCTGTTGCAAAGTAAAAGAAAAACAGAGACACATAGAAGAACAGAGAGAATAATGAAAGACTGGGGTTATTATTTATAGTGTCCTGTCCCTCCAGTTATGGCTTTTCTCATCTTTTCGTTTTTTTTTAATATTCTTACCAGTTTTGTTGACAAGATTACTCCCACCATGTCGGTTAAGACGCTCGCTAGATGTTGCTTTATTCCGGATTAAAAAAGGACATGAAAAATTATTTTTGTTCACTCAGACACAGAAACTACTAGGTCACAGATGTGCACAGTCTTCCACTCCAGAGGAGACTTAGATGACCAGCAGGCCGATTTCTTAATTTCAACCAACCACGTGCTGCATTCTCTAACAGCAAATCCTATAAATACTTTTCTTCTTTTTAAGCTGTGTACACACAAGTATATTTTCTCGCTTCTTGATTTTATGTTATTCTTTATATGAAAACATCAGTTATAATTCTTGGTATAGCAGATGTGAACAGAGTAAACCTCTAATTATTTTTAAACTTCCAACAAACCTCATTTTGGCGTGCGTTGAAACTGTATAGATGGGTTTCTAGAAAGAATGTGAATCTTTTCATTTGTACCCTCTTACATCGTTAAACAACGGCATGCAGTCATACTTACGATTGCAACAGATTGTTAAAATAAAAAAAGATCGTGGAACTAGAACAGTCTACCCCAGTGAGCGAAATAAACGGTTCAGTTCGACATTCAAACCACCTGAAGAAGGCCGGAGCGTACAACGGCCGAAACGTTGTAATAAGATGAGGACAATAGTCTAAATAATGTAAATAGTGTACATAATACCTCATCTCAGAAATACAGACAGATACTAAAATTGTTAAGGTCAAATATTTAATAATCCAACAGCTTAGAATAAGATGCACAGTTTATGGGAACATGTGGATAATATAATGGTTAACCTTAGATTTGAACAGGTCAAGATTATAGTGATTGGGGGAATACCCACTTGGGAGTCGATTCCACAAAGCAGAGGTTCGCGGGAAGAAGCTGCTCAAATGGAAATTACATCTCATAAATGGAATACGAAGGGAATGAGGGTGATTTGCAACAATGTGTGTGGCATGGCGGTTCTTAGCCATAAAAGTTAGAACTGGTGGAACTAATGAATGTACTTTGTCTGAACATTTTCCATGGAAATAGCGATGGAATAGCGGGAGACTTGCGTCGTTTATTTTATAAAAATGATAATGTCTTCTTTCAAAAAACCAAAAAGCCAAAAAAAATAAAATAAAATAAATAAACATAAATAAACAAAATAAAATAAAAAGGCTTATGTTTTTTTCGGTCTCTAGCAATAAACGTCAACAAAGCAATTCTCTGAATAAAAGCTCTATGATAAAACTCGGCTACCAGATCAACATTTGTATTACAGTTAGAGAGGAACATAATTGGTTTGATGGTTGGCAAAATGGACACGACACCCCGATGTACCAGTGGTCATAGTGTATTTCTCACTGGTACCTGGAGTCGGTCCATGATTACATATATAAGTAACAAGGATTTGGAAGGATAATTGACCATCCGTATTTGGACATAACATTATCAACAAAAAAAAATTGATAATGATTTATGAACGTCAAAAGTACTCAGACATCGGACAATTTAGATTCAAATTTTCACTGGAAACCAGGAAGATAGTCCCAAAAAGAGAAAATATTCAAAAAGTCCTTAACAAAGAACTTCCTTTGGTCTTTAACCAAACATGTGTATGTAAAGAAGTATATCTATTTAGACAACGCATATGTCATAATGTAATAGATAACAAGTAAATTTCGCAAGCCATTGCTACTGAGTTCAGTTTTTTGTAGGTACTCGATTATTTTGTTCTTGGGCCAGATTCATTCTAGATGGTGTCCGTCTTGAATAATTGGTTTATTGAATTATTTCCTTATTCTATGCTTTGTTATTGTGACTCCACCTGAATAAGCTGCACGTTCTGAACTTTTCAGAATTAAATTAAGATGGATTACCTTTTCGCTTCTTCAGTTTCCATTGCTTGACAATTCTTCAACAATGATGTTTTTCGATCAGCAACACTGGGAAGAGATTAGTCCCTGAGACGCTCCAGGTAAAACTGACCAACAAGAAATGCCTCTGCAAAAAAAACAAAACAATAAAGGTATCAATATGATTTTTTTAAAAAAATGATCGAGTGTAAAACAGGATGTATTTACGTGCCGACTCTTATTAAAGTAATTTCCCTTTTTGAGAGACCATTTGTATTGATGTATATATCATTCTAATTATTACTCATACATGACAGTTAAGGATAAATTTGGAGTACACGAACCTACCTTAGTTTTTGCAGACCAGCGGCAGTGTACACAGTGGATTAAAGAATAAATGATGGAGGGATAAAACGCATCTACGTCACATAAGGTTATAAGAATTCAAGCAAAGGAATGATGCTATGGGGACATCTAGAAAATATGTATCCTTTATAGTGTGGGTTACCCCACTTGACTTTATTAAAAAATGACGCTAGGGGATTCTCCTTAAGCATATAAATAGGAAATGATATTCTTACCGATTCTCTTTCCTCCTCTTACAACCTCGGCTATAAGATGTAATTCCACGTGGTAAAAATTTGTCCCCACTGGAGCACATTCACTTCACTCTCAATGTATTACTTTATTCTCGGACTTCTCCTACACAAACTTCATACACACAAACACATTCTCCACTTTAAATGTTTTCTATGTAATTAGTCTTTTAATATTTTCTTTTATTGTCATTCTATACTTTTGTTAATACATACATTGTCGTTTATTTTATATACTGTTTTGTGTTTCATTTATTACTCAGACTCACTTTCGAGTCCGCAATAATTGTTAAGTGAAAATATGCCAGGAGACACATGTTTTCTACATAAACACAACTAGCATTCCCGCAACAATAACTTTTTCCTCTGGCCCGCAGTTTTGGAATGAAAATTTGCTCGCGCCTCACTAAATTTTATGTGAAAAAAACTACATTTAAAAATAAAAAATACAGAAATAGGGTTGAAGGGAGATAACCACGGATTCAAAGTCAGAACATCATCATTGATAACTCTCTCCTCCAATTTGCGGATCCTAATTACTATATTCTTAACACTTGATATAATGCAAAAATATCACAATGATAAAATTGGTCAGTAATTATTTATAACTGTTTACACTGGGACTCATGCATGCAATTACAAGTAAACCATAATAATATTTTCAATTTTGAAATCATATTTATTTTTGGCATATGAATTTTTTAAAACTGTTTCTAAATCTTTTATTGTCTTTCAATCATTTCGCCGCAACTGCTATCCTTTTCCGTCTCACCGGCTATCCTCTTCCGCCTCACCTGCTATCCTCTTCCGCCTCACCTGCTATCCTCTTCTGCTGCATCATTTGAAAACCACTGATTTATAACTGACTAGTAATTACGAAATTGGTTTGCAAAATTTTGTTCTGGAGAAACTTATTTGGAAAATGAAACCGGACGGAGGCGTCCATTGGAATTATGATAAAGCTCTCTAAAGTCATAAGCGGAAAGCAATCGATGGTATAGTAACTGGGAATTAGCAAAGATGTTAAACACATCGTAATCAGCATGATGTTGGCACTGAGAAAAGATAGAGGAAGTACGCACTTTGGATGTTTGGGTTTCACACGCTCTTACCGAAAAGAAAAAAGCGAGTCATTGATAAACAGAAAAGGATAGTATTTATTATTTAACCTAATGTATAAGAAGGTTCCAAAATTTGTTCGACATACTTCATCCTTAAACCGGGACCATCAGAATTTAATTAGTTCACAAGAACAAAATCTATATTAGCGAGACAAAACGGGTTCACGTTAAGCAGCTGAATGCATGAGTTATAATTTAACTGTATCGTTATAGAGATTAAACTTTAACTCAGCTTTCATTTATTAATTTTTTATAAATAATAAATGTGATGTCTGTTAATGAATTCAATAGATTTATCTCCCCCTGATGAGTGGGACAGTGTTTTTGCGAAACTTCCACTAGGGTATAGAGAACAAACCACATGGTCTCAGTTACACAGAAGACACTAACGGTCTGTCCTTTTTCCAGAAGGGAAATATTACAAGTAAAACTCTCTCTCTCTCTCCTCACTCCGTCCACACTGTTTGTTGTATACATATGTTTATAGTTTTTCTGTGTGGGACCAATTTGTGATATATCAATATAAAAAATGTCTTCGGGAACAATTCATGTTTGTCAATTTTTTACACATGTTCATCCTGATGCCACTCGAGATAGAGGGCTACAGAGTAAGAGGCACAGTTTATGCGGATATGCAAGGAAAATAACGGTTAATCCTAAACTTGAACAGGTTACGATTGTAACAATCAGGGAAGCATATACTTGCTCTTCTAGTATATCACTGCTGTTGTATATTTAATTTATTATATTTGTAATTTTCGTCAAAATTATAAACGCTTAATGACCACCATCCTAAAAATTGATGAGTCACATTCACTGACTTAACCAATTTTCGTTATTCCTTTTGTCATAACGTCTCATTTATTTGAAATCTTTCTTGAATCAATCCCTCAAAAAGTCACTTTCTGTCTACAAAAATTCTGATAACCTTATCTGCAATTTTATGCGTGGAAAAAATAAAACAAATGATTTATAATTTACGATTTAAAAATTTTTACCTTGTAACTTGAAATATTATGAAATAATATTTGCAGAAAAAATACATTAGTATGTGAGCCCCTTCTACAATTTATTATAATAGAAAATCCAAGTTAACTGTCAGAAAATGACGTGGGGAAAGTGTTAGTAAGATAAAACTACAGGTAACACTAAAATGGATGCGTATTTTTCCGAAATGAGAGCAAGAAATACTGCCTCTATTTTAAAAATTTTACAAGACAGAAAATTATCCGATTTAAACAAAATTTTCAGTACTTATTCTTTAATGAATAAATCGTAAGCTGAATGTGACACTGAGCTGTCGGCTCGTGATCAGCTCCCAGTCGCGGCGCGAAGCTCTAATGTTTCTTCCACCGGCGTTTTGGGGTTGACTCTTAGTCGCTGCCACCAGCCTGTGTCCCGGTCGATCGGTAGTTGTCGCTACTCGGCGGAACCCCTTTGTCAGGATACCAATATGTGACACTGGCCCGTCCAGGGTCGAATTCTGGTCGTCGATGTTAACGGCTTCACACCAGCTGTACCGGTTCGATACCAGCTCTGTCGTTCCCAGCTCACTTCCAACGTCTGGTTACCGGAGTAACTGCTTCAATCTAAAGTTGTGATTTTGATCTTAGGTAGACGAGATCAATCAGGCGTCGAGCCGTAGTATAAGCTGAGTCCAGACTAAAGGTGATATCGCACAAGCGTAAAGAAAAATAAGCAAATAAAAGAAAAACCCAAGAGGTTCAAGTATATTAAGAAATAAGAAATTAACTTTATCCGTCTGTTATATACAGGAGTGTGTTTCTCTCCCAGCCCGTTTTAGTTCTTAGATGCTGGTTTGGCTTCGTTCGTCAGTATAACTTGCTATTAGTAGGATAGGCGAGGTCGGAGGCAGTGGAATCTCTCGGTCAGCTTCTGCGAGGCAACATTCTGGTTAAGTTCTGAATCTAACTCCAAAACCAACTCAACTGTACTCAACTCAACTGTCGAACGGCCCGAGGACGTTCGTTTATATGGGTACCGACCAAAACCCGGTGCGGGGCCAGACGCGGCCTGGGGTTCTCAGTAAATCTCGATTCCCAACAAGAAATCTCTTTGTTGTCAGGCCAGGAAAATTGATTACTTCCCATTTTTGGAAAATTAATCACTTTCCATTGGGGGGGGGATCTCCCTCGTCCGTGAGGGGAGGTCGGTGGAGAGCTATCCTCCTAAACTCTTCCTCTCTCACGTTGATATCTCATACCAATCACTTCAGTGGACGTTAGTAAATTCTATGTCCTTCTCATCAATTCACCTCCGCCTATCACCATTGCTACCACTCGACCAATGGCATCCCGCCCGTGCGGGTGTGGCTAAGCTGGCCTCCTTAAAATTATAATCCATAATTTTTGTTTACAAAATTCTCCTTTTTCCCATCTGCCAAAATTTTCACGAATCCCATATTGCCACTTAAAATCTATCATATCTTTTGGTCACTCAGAATCCACTCAAAATTCACTCTTTACCAATTCCATCAATCACTGTCAAAGTTTGCCATCTGGCCCCTTCGTGAAGTTAGCTTATACTGGAACCCTTGACTTCTTGAGAAATTAAATTCTTTATCTCACCAAATCACAATTCTTTCATGTTATCTTTACTCATGCCCAAAATTTTACAATCACCATATTGCTACTCAACGTCTCGGGATCTGAAAGCGACACCTTGGTAAAGTAAATAATAACGATCCTCTTCACCTGTATCGAGACAAATGCCAAAATTTTATAATCACCATATTGCTTTTCCTTGCCGGCACTCAAGAAAAAAAAAATGATATCTTGGAATGATAATTAATATTGATTCTCCCTACCTTGTATTGGCAATTCTCTCAGGCCGAAATTTTTATGACTGCCATGTGGTCTGCTCGATATCTTAGTGTTTTGCTTTTCTTTACGAATTCTCCTATCTTCCTCGGCAACACATTAATCAACTTGACAAAATCTCACATATGGCGTTTTCTACGGGTTTACTGTCTTTTGTGAAAAATATCTTTTTCGTAAATAAAATATAATCTTTTTAACATCGAACGGTATATCTTTCGGGATAACTTCTTTCCGCCTTCAGTATTTCCTGTTTTAATTTCTATGGTTAATTAGCCAATTACTATAGCTAAATAGTGTCACATGAACACGGGGATTTTTTTTTAGAAAACTCTGCGGAAATATTTTGAGGGTCAGTTATTCTCATTTTGATACATTGTGCAAACTTTTAAAATTGGTAGGTGGGGTGGTAACGAATATTTTTTATAGTTTCATAAAGAAAAATTCTGGAGATATTTTAGGGAAAAAAATGAAATATCAATTGTGAACATAT